TGCTCACGCAGCTGCTGCTCCTGTTGTTGTCGCTGCTGCTCCTGCTGGAGCTGCTGCTCACGCAGCTGCTGTTCTTGCTGCTGTCGCTGCTGCTCACGCAGCTGCAGCTCCTGCTGCTGACGCTGTTGCTCCCGGAGCTGTCGCTGCTGTTCACGCAGCTGTTGCTCCTGTTGCTGGCGCCGTTGCTCCTGCTGCTGCTGTTCTTGTTGCTGTCGTCGTTGCTCACGCAGCTGCTGCTCCTGCTGCTGGCGCCGTTGCTCCCGCAGCTGCTGTTCTTGTTGCTGTCGTCGTTGCTCACGCAGTTGCTGCTCCTGCTGTTGTCGCTGCTGCTCCTGCTGCTGGCGCTGCTGCTCCTGCTGCTGGCGCTGCTGCTCCTGTCGCTGCTGCTCCTGCTGCTGGCGCCGTTGCTCACGCAGCTGATGTTCCTGCTCCTGGTGCCCTTGCTCACGCAGCTGATGCTCCTGCTCCCGCTGCTGTTGCTGTTGCTCCTGCTGCTGTTGTTGCTGCTTCTGCTGCTGTCGCTGATGACGCTGCTGCTGTCGCTGCTGCTTCTGCTGTTGTCGCTGCTGCTCCTGCTCCCGCTGCAGTGTCTGCTGTAGATGCAGCTGCAGCTGCTGCTCCTGCTCCCGTTGTAGTTGCTGCTGTAGCTCCCGCAGCTGCTGCTCCTGCTCCCGCTGAAGTGTCTGCTGTAGATGCAGCTGCAGCTGCTGTTCCTGCTCCCGCTGCAGTTTCTGCTGTAGCTGCAATTGCAGCTGCTGCTCCTGCTCCCGCAGCTGCAGCTCCTGTTGCTGATCCTGCTGTAACTGCTGTCGCTGCAGCAGCTGCTGCTGCTCCTGCTCCCGCTGCAACTGCTGCTCCTGCTCCCACTGCAGCTGCTGCTGCAGATCCCGCAGCTGCTGCTCCTGCTGCTGTCGCTGCTGCTCCCGCAGTTGTTGCTCCTGTTGCTGTCGCTGTTGCACCTGCTCCCACTGCAGCTTCTGCTGTTGCTGCAGCTGCTCAAGGTCCCGCAGCTGCTGCTCCTGGTCCCACTGCAGCTGCTGCAGTAGTTGCTGTTGCTGTAGCAACTGCTGTCGTTCCTCCTCCTGCTGCAACTTCTGCTGTTTCTGCAGCAGTTGTTGCTCGTGCTCCTGTTGCTGCTGTTGCTCCCGCTGCTGCTGCTCCTGTTGCTCCTGCAACTGCTGCTGTAGCTGCGTTTGCTGCAGCTGCTCCAGTTCCCGTAGCTGCCGCTCCTGCTTCTGTCGCTGCTCCTGCTCCCTCTGCAGCTGCAGCAGCAGTTGCTGTTGCTGCAGCAACTGCTGTTGCTGCTTCTCACGCTGCAACTGCTGTTGTTTCTGTACCAGTTGTTGCCTCAGCACCTGTTGCTGCTTTTGCTTCCGCTGCTGCTCCAGCTGCTGCTGCTGCTGGTCCCGCTGTAACTGCTCCTGTATCTGGCGTTGCTGCAGCTGCTGCTCCTGCTCGTGCTGGACTTGCTGCTGTTGCTCTAGCTTCCGCTGCAGCTCCTGCTGCTCCTGCTGCAGCTGCTCTTCCTGCCACTTGTTGCACAAGCGTTTGCGCCACTTGTAGTCCACGCTTTTCGCCATTTTCCACTGAGCTCCACAATGATCCACACACTCGTAGCCGACGACTTGTTCGCTGCACAGCTATCTGATCTCTGAATGGCCTATCGCGCCTCAAGCTCGAGCTGGAGCTAGATAATTTGAGCAACTTAGTCCCCTTCTCTCTCACTCCCGCTATCTCTCTCTGTCTTTCCCGCTGTGTCGCTCTCAGAGCCAACTTCAAATTGCAATGATTGTTATTGATTATTTTTATTATTTATTTTATATTATTTTTGTTATTATCGGGCGCCAAGCTCTTGGCTCTGCTGAATTCGCGTGCATATAGAGTTCGCTGTACACAAATTATATCTGTTCTAGATATACGCACGGCAACAGCATTCACTTTACGTAAATATTTATCGCAACTCTGAAATACATGCAAATATCCTGGGTTTTCAATGGTCGTTGCAGCTCCAAGCTCTTAGCCTAAAACAGATATAAAAAAAAGGTGGATTAGTAGTAGAGAATAGATTATTAATAATATGTATATATGGGCTCATAAATCGAGCTAATTTATAGGAGTGCAAGGCAGGAGAGGGAGCTGAGGTAGATGAAGATGAGAGCTGAGGGAGAGAGCTTATAGAGACATAATGCTTGAAGAGGACAGTGAAGGAGCACATGAAGAATGATGATGGATGCGCAGTTCCTTTATTAACTATCTGCCCTCATTATAAGCCTAAGATCCTTCGAACCATTCGTTCTTCCAGCTCACCACCTTTAAGAGTCATCAAATCGATTATTCATACTTTACAGCAATCGTTAATCGAGTATTATTACCATGAAGTGAACAATTGATGAATATAAATCGAGTGTCCCAGGGAAAATCCGCTTAAAATATGAATTATTAAAAATATATAATAGGTATCTTCTAGTCGGGTTTGCTCGTTTGTAGGCTGCTTTCCTTGAGCAAGTGTATGTGTGGGTATTTATGTGAATAAAACTGTCACGAATTCGTGTCGGTTTTCTCTCTCTCTCTCTGTGTATGTGTGTGTGGGTGTATGTGTGGGTGTGTGTGGGTGTGTGTGAGTAATAGAAATAAAGTCAGCGGAAATGCAATTTTTGGGCTGTGAAAGAGTAAGAGAGAGGAGAAGGAGTAGAAGGCAGAGAAGAAGAAACTGAAATTAAGAAGGTCTACGTTCTGTTGCTTAGGAATTGTGCGTGTCAAAGTCAGAGAAAAAGTGAATAAGCACAACTATGAAATACCCTATGGAGTAACTGCAGTTTAAGACTAAAAAAAAAAGAAAAAATAAAATAATATAAATACTTTTCAATTTATACCATTTTATCAACTTCTTATTTTTCATCGTTGCACTCCTCTACTTTTCTCATCTCTGCCCTTATAATAATCACTTTCCATATGATTCTCTTCCTCATTTACTTATCTTAAGGTCTATTCTGATATATCTGCCTGATTACAGGATATGCTGAGCAGGGAAGAAAGATAAACTCCTTGGGGTTGCAGGCAGAAGACGACGCTGCTCCACATAGACCATAGGCATCGGCTAGGAGGACGAGGAGCACGCACATATGTTGCTGACATCGGCAAGTGTGTGTGTGCGTGTGTGTGAGTGTGTATAGCTTTTGAGGTTTTAGTTTTTGGCAACGCATTCAGCCAAGTCAGAGGCGGATAGACAGAGAGCAGCGCGCTGGGAGGGGAGGGGAGGGGCGCGTTGGAAGGCAGCTGCAATGCCGACGTCTGCCGCAAAACATAGTAAAACGCGCGCATATTTATAACGAAATGCTCAATTTAAATTCCCATCAATCTTGGTAGAATGCCACACACACACACATATGTATATATACACACAAACACACATACGCAACTATAGAGCTATGGAAGGGTTTGGTATTGTCTGCTGTGCGGGCAGAGCTATGCATTCAACCAATTGTAGTTGGCACACACACACTCGAACATATCAAACGGAGGCGTGGCAAGGGCTTTAAAAGGCATCTCTGCTCTTGTTAAATCGTATGCAATTGGAGCAGAACAGAATGAAAATATCTATAAAATCGGAATATATGTAAAATTAAAAACAAAAATAAATAAATTTTGGTAGTTTAAATAAAATTGAGAATCATATTACTCAAGTTATTCCTTGAAAAAACAGAACTGTGAAACACAACCGGAAAATTTAATGAAAAGAGCGCACAGAAATATTTTTCGATTCTACCCATAAAAAATAAAAAGCACCGTCTATGCATATACACGAACAAATGAAGCTAAAAGAATCTAAAAATCTGAGAACAGCTAGCTAGACCTAGAGCTAACTAGACAGATATTTATTCTAAAAACTACGAGATCTATATGGCTTGATAAATATCAATATAGCAAAATTTTGGGTGGCAAGTGAAATCAAAGCATTCTAAAGCTCCTATGCGAATAAGACTGAATTTGGATTAAATAGCTGAGCCAAGCACAAACTAAAACTTTGAAACTCTATCCAAAGCCACTCAAAGCAGCTTAGATAAGCCACTTGCGTAATGGCAATTTCTCTTAAATAAATATGCATGGGTTAATCAACTATTACAGCTACAGCTAGCCGGTAGCTGCAGTTGAAATTGAAAATGAAGTGGCATAAAAGAGAAACAACGAGGAACACGCGTGCATTGAGGAGTACCGAGTACACAGAGTTCCAGGCACTTCAGGTGCTCCTCCAGGCACTTCAGATACGTCAGATGGTACTCTAGGTACGCCTGGTTCGGCACATTCGTCACACACGTCACAGTTTTCATTACGGACGACGCACACAAGTGGCCCGGGGGGCGGGGGCCTGGGGATGGGGAGTTGTGGACGTCGCTTTGATCGGATGAGTGTTGCAACTGCAACTGCGCTGGACTCTGGCGAAAGTTTCGTGATAATTGATTGAAAGAGAGAGTTGGAAACGCAATGTATTTTGTAGAGAGAGATAGATAGAGAGAGAGAGAGAAAGAGAAAGTTATAGAGGGAGGGAGAGATAGAGAGAGATTTAGAGAGAGAGATAAAGAGAGAGATACGGAGAGAGAGGGAGTTAGAGAGAGAGAGAGAGAGAGATGAAGACAGAGAGAGAGATAGAGAAAGTGAAGAAA